GCCAGAAACAGTGTCATATCTAAAGCAGGTATGATTGGTTTTGTTGTATGTTTGTTTGGTTTCTTTTTCTTTCTTTCTTTTTTTTTTTTTTTGAGACAGAGTCTCACTCTGTTGCCTGGGTTAGAGTGCCATGGCGTCACCCTAGCTCACAGCAACCTTACACTCCTGGGCTCAAGCTATTCTCTTGCCTCAACCTGCTGAGTAGCTGAGACTCTGTGACTATAGGTGCACACCACCACACCTGGCTAAGTTTATATTTTTAGTAGAGATGGGGTCTTGCTCTTGCTCAGGCTAGTCTTGAACTCCTGAACTCAAGCAATCCTCCCGCCTCAGGCCTCCCAGAGTGCTAGGATTACAGCTTTGCCACCGCTCCTGGCCTGTCTTTGGTTCTTTCAACTGAACAATCTCTGTGTACATGTCATTGTCTTTAACTGTGTTCTGTTACTTAAGATTCTTTGTTGTACCTTGATTAGTAATACTCTTTTATTGTGTTCCTGAAACATCTTTTTATATTCTATTAAGGCATTTTTTATACTTGTTTTTTGTGTCTCTTCCCCACTAGCTATTTAGCTCTTCAAGGCAGGAGTGTGTTCTGTGTCCTAGCATCTATCAGTGTTTGAGTAGTTGGTCCATGTAAATGCTTGTTGAGAATAAATGGTTGTGTGGTTAGGAATCAGGTAGCTTTAAAAGGATAGTCACTGTTTTAAGATTTACCAAAGAACTTTCACATACTTTGTCCACATTTGTGCTTCCCAACTCTCCGGGGGCAGGCATGGCAGCATTTCATTTTGCCGATAAGAAGCCCAGAAGCCTGAATCAGCCTGACTTACTGGATTCAGGCAGCTAAGAAGGCAGTGCTGGGTGTGAACCCTTCCTGGTGTCAGAAATTTGTGTTCTTCCCTTGCCACACCTCTGTCCACTGAACAAGGTCAGTACTTAGTCTGAGTGCTCATGGGTTGATTCAACCTACTTGCTCTTTGTTTATGTCTCTAATACGAGACCCCTGTGTGATCTGAGGTGATTTAAAAGGCAGTTGAACTTGGGTAGCCACAGACTTGATAATTAGACAGGGATTCCAGGAACTAATTCTTCTTCCTGTGGACCTTCTGTGACAATAGATAATCATCTTGGGATTGCTTTCATTCTTTAAAATAGTCATACTACTTTACTCACCTTCTCTTTTGTGATTATACAGTATTTATTAAGAAGCTTATCAAACACTTTATAAACCATACTCTAATCATGCATGTGAAAAATGATTATTCTCAGTAAAATCTTTTCCTCAGATTAACTCAATTTTAAGAGTTATGTGAGAAAATTGTAAACTGAGTCGGTATTGGATTTGGAGATGCAACCCCCATTACTCAGGCTCAAGTAGAAGATTCTAAATAGTTATATGAACTGATACATCTTTAAATGTGAAGCCCTTTCTGGTATCTTGCAATTTGGTCTCATTGAACCTCCTCCTTATTTCATTCATTGTTGCAGTCTGTCCACCGCTGGCCTGGCTGTGATGGTCCCTGCATGCACCTAGTCAGGCTAACTGAAGTAGCAACATGTGGTTTTTATAATGGAAATTTTCACCTTCTTCACCTCCATCCCAGATGAAGATAATTTGAGTGGTTCTTTGTTTGTTTTTAATCACTATTCCTACCATGGAGGCAAATGGGGATGGAAAATATTGAGTCTGCATTTTTAGATACTGTACATAACTGAAGTTTGTGTTCATCTGTTTTGTTCTAAGAGCAGGACTTATTGGGTCTCTGATGGGTTTTATGAAAATGAGCTTCAAACCAGAACTCTTGGCTTTCCAATCTAATGGTTGACTTAGGGCATAATAACATTGCTGCTTTCAGTAGCAAAGCAATCTGAGATTTGAAAGTATCATGCTTATATTTATTTGGTTCTGGAATACATCTTGGGGAATCAAATGCTCAATGATTTTCAGGTGGCAAACAAGTGCAGAGATATACTGAAAAATGTTTTAAATTGTCTGGGAATTTCAAAGGGAACATCTATTATTGGTATTAGAAAGAGCTCTAAGTCACTGGAAAATTATCCCAGCCACTTGCTGATATTATAGTGGTTCACAAAATCATTTCTAAGTACTGCATAGGTGTTTTGTTTCTATAAAAGGTCTGAATGAAGTCTTTTCTACTTGACCTTTTGCTGTATTATTTAAGCCCTGGTTCAAAGCTAGGAAGCTTTTCTACCAAGAAAAAATTAAAAGATTAAGTCAACATAACACTTTGGAAATATGTTAAATTTACTAAATGAGCTTATAAATAATTTCAAATATACTTTTGCCAGAAAACTACAGTGGTATAGATATAGATATAGATGTCAGTGATTTGAAAGTGTAACTCTTTATCCACATATTCATCAACAAGTTTACTGAGCACTCACTCTGTGCAATCCACAGTTCTAGGCCAGTGAGGGTATAAAATGAAAGTTAGAATCATTGCTCTTAAGTTGTTATAAATCCATAAGTATGGTGTGACTCAGGCAATACTTGATATTTTGAGCCTCCGTTTCCTCATTTGCAAAATAGGATGATATCACCCCATATTTAAACATTTGAGGCTTAGAGATGTAAATTACCAAGCAACATACCTGGCACAATAGGCTTATTGATAAATTATGATTATTATCATCCTCATTGTTCAGAAAGAACATGCAATATATGTTTGGGGAGGTACCAAGACATTCTGTGACATTTAAAGAAGAAGACCATTTTAGGATCAGGATGCAAAAAAAATGTGGAAGAGGTGGCATTTAAGCTGGCCTTGAGAGTGAATAGAATTTTAAGTAGGTAGAGAAGAAAGGCTATCTCAGAGATAATGCAGCAAAGCTTGGAGTTGGAAAAGCATAGAATCTGAAACATAGCATTCCAGTTTGAGGAAAAGAGTGTGTGCATAGAAGAGAAGTGCAAAGTTGGACAGGCAAGTTAGGCCAAGATTGTGAAAGCCTAGAATGTGGATAAAGAGTGAACCTTGAAGGTGTTTTATTGCTGCTATTTCACTGGTGCCTAGAACAGCGTCCAGCATATATTATTGTATAAATAATGAGTTATGATTTACACAAATTGACTTATCTGATTTGCCACGGTAAGCCAGGTAGAAATGTCTTACAAGTAGCTGGAATATAAGACTAGAGGTCAGATCTGAGATTGAGACTGAAGGTAAATTTGAGTAGCAGAATATATGAATTAATGATTGAAGTTGCAGTGTGGGATAATTGACTTAAGGAGAACACGTGCTGTATCCAGAGAAGAGAGTAGGGGAGAGGAATCTCATCAGAGGGAACCACATGTACAAAGTCCTGAAGCAAAAGAGAACACTGTTAAGTTTAGGTAAGAAAAAAAATTTACCTTAAATTGCAGGGTTTAAAAAAAAAGCTTATTTAAACTCTGAACATCAACCAAAGGAGATATTTTTTTTTAACTCAATGATTAAAGATTTGTTTATCAATCTTTTGGGGGAATCAGATTTTTAGAATTCTGTGATGCTGCTTCCTCTGACCCCACTCACAATTTCTTTTTGTTTTCTTTTATTCATAAGTACATCGGGCAGTGTGCTAGGTGCCTATCATGTGGCGGTGAGTGAAACTGAAATAGTTCCTGCCCTCAGGGAGTTTATAGGTGAGAATGGAAAAGCCAATAAAACAGATAAATAAATGTGTAATTATAGATTGAGCCTGGCATGGTGGTGCGCACCTGTAGTCTCAGCTACTCGGGAGGATCTCTGGGGCCCAGGAGTTCAATTTCAGCCTTTGCAACATATGGAGACTCCCGTCTCTTCAACAAAATAAAAATAAATGGAGAAAATGGCTGCGAAGTGTGCTCTGATGGAGAATAAGACTGGTAATTGCAAGGAGGGTCTCTCCAACCATATTAGCATATCCCTGCAAAGCTGCCCAAGTCACTGTGGGGAGGGGTGTGGGTGGCCCCACTAAGGAGGGCCCGCCGTCACCCAGGTGTACAGACACAGACACACACACTTTTTGTATTTTGCTAGGAAGCTACAGTGAGGTTGAAGACCTTACCTCAAAACCACCCCCTTTCAACCTGCTGTATGCAACAGGAAAGGGCAGCGAAAACTGATTTTCACAGCAGCCCCAAACCTGAAATAAGAGGCAATCGCCAGGTTCTAATAGCACTACTTTTGGAAAGAACTTCTCTAAGTAATTCTCTTAGACCGGAAAGCTGCTAAAACCCGGCCCGGCCCTGATACGTTCCCACTGAAAATTTCCAATTGCAAATATCCATTGTGGCGCTGGGAGGAGCGGTGAGGAGACTCCGTGGCACACGCCATAGCTTTCACAGTGGGTGAGATAAGACCTGCCTGTAAGAAAGCACAGAGATAAGGAGGCCTGGTGGGCGCGGTCAGGCCCTGCCAGGCGGCTCAGTCCCTCGTGCAGGAAAGACGTGTCCTCCCTGTCTGGAACCTTGTGTGCGGGCTCTGACTGCCCGGGCTGCCAGGGGGAAGCATTTAAGGGTGGTACCGTGAGAAGCCGCTTGTAAACAGAGCCCGGCCTGATGGTCAGCGGCTAGGCGGGCTGTCATCCGGCAGCGGGTGGTGGGCTGCCGAAGCCGGTCCCCAGCCAGGAGTGCACTGCAGGCCCCGCCGGTGAAGGGAGAGTAGCAGCCGGTGACCCGGTGAGCATCTGCCTGCTTCTATGCAGTCTGGCCGGTGGGGCGGGGGCGGGGAGGAGGGATGACAGCATTGTAAATATCCGAGAAGCTCCCAGGGGATAACGGTGATTTTGCTGTTTCTTCCACACTCTGGTTTTTATTTCATGCTGGAGACTGCACTACAGTGCAATGGATAATGGGTGAGGGGAGATTACGTTATCTGCTTATTTTTGTGAACCAGGTATGTAATAGGACAAGAGAGTAGTTGAAAAGGGTGAGCCTGTTCAGTGCGTTGCTTTTAGTACCCACTCCCGCCCCCGCCGGGAGGTTATAGAAACCAAACCCCAGCCTAGCTTTTAACTCACATCAAGCTGGAACTCCCAGAAAACAGAACGATTGTTCTTTCTGTTGACTCTGCCGATTTTTAATGTATAGTAAGTGACACCCCATGACTGATGACAAGTATGGGCTGGTGAAAGGATAATTAAACTTAAAAAATCAAGATAAGGAAATTTCAGATCCACCCCTTAAATGAAATAAATTAGTACTGATATATACAATTGGATGACTAATTGAGACTGGTCTAGATGTATAGCTTGCAAAACAAGACAAATTTGAATTTACCAGGTTAAACTGAGATTGAACCATGCTGTTGTAAACTTATTTGTAAGGTTATTTTCCTCCTTGGAAGGAGCTAGAGAAACACTTGGGTTTTTTCCTTTAAATTTTAATTTCACTAATCATAGTGAATTGTGATTTGTATTTATAAAGTATTCTATTATAAAGTACCACGTGTAAATTATAATTAGTGTACTTAAAATACAAGGCAGTTTTAATTTCATTAACTTTAGGAAAATGTCTTAACAAAAAACTGGACTATACATATAATCTCTAAAAGGTCAGTACATACAATGTACTTTTACAATATAATGGTTCATAGCAAAAACTATGAAGTCAGACTATCTCAGTTTGAATTCTGCTTGGTCATTTCCTAGTTGTGTAATCTTGGGTAGTTTACTTAGCCTTGCCATATTTCCTAATCTGTAGAATGGGATTAATAACAGTACTGACCTCATTAGGGTTTTAGTGATGTCATATTTTAAAGGCTTAGAACGGATATAGTAATTGTGTATATATGTGTTGTAAATAATAGCATAAAATAAAAAATGTACCAATGTTGAAAATGAAAGAATCGGTTAATTACCAGGGGTTGGAGGGAAGGAAGAAAGGGAGTAGATATAATAAAGGTATGAGTTTCACGTCTGATGCAAGGATGAAGAAAGGATGTTT